TATACTTTAAAACCATTTCTCTTTTTTTTATATAGTTTTCTTTGGGTATACTTTAAAACCATTTGTCTTTTTTTCATATAGTTTTTTTTGGATATACTTTAAAAAAGATTTATTATGTGTTTGTTTATATTTCCATGTTAGTATAGTCATCAAGAGTTTTTTTATTAAGTTGAATAGCCAATAATCAGATAGATAATCAGGTATATCTGGCAAGTACGACTGGCGACAAATTATTGTGATCAAGGCGTAGTTAAAACAATTTAAAGTTTTGAGTGCCTATTACAGGTCTATGCTCATTTATTTCGCAAGTTTCAAGGAAACCTTACATAACATTGACTAGCAAAAATGTCATCTTTTTAAACACAACCCAAATGAACACATGTTGTTTTGAAAAAGATGTATAATATGTTTTTGGGCTCAAACCTGTCGCATCTTACTTTAGTTCATGGAACATCATCTTCACTAACTCAACTAGCATTTGACTTGTGTCCAACTTTTATCAAATAAAACCAATATTCATCTCCTGTAAAATCACAAAGTCTTTCTTGGTCGTTTCTCTTGTTCAAAATTTATAGATGAAGTTCTACAAAATTTTCTAAGAAGCTAAGTATTATAAACTATTGCAGACCAGAAGGACCATAAAAAATAATTTATAAACATAAGCATGATTAAAAATATGTTACAAAGAACAGTAGTAACATTTTTAGAAGAAACCTTACTTAATTGTATTATTTTGGCTTTGCATAAGTTGAAGATGTACTCTCATTTAAACTTATTGTTATAATCTACTTTCTTCAAGTAAAGATATTGGACTTGTTTCCATGTAGTTTGAAGAACAGCCAAACCTAAAATACATTAAAATTTGTTTATATACTTTGATAGTGATGTCTCTTCAAGTACACTTGGTTCAATTTTTACCAATTTTTATTTCTTGATCTGTTAGTTGTGTTTTTTGAGATTTTATTGTTACCTAATGTTTGGGCTACAGCTAAATAGATCCCAATTTTTTTCTGTTGAAAAAGATTTTTCTGTAAGAAACTTTAGGAACTTCTAATATTTCGATTATTTTTGATTTTTTAAACCATTGAATTTGAACTATACGTTGGTTTTCTTTCTTTACTTCAAATTGTAATTTTAAAAAATTACTAAGAAAAACTCCTTGTAAAACGTTTATTGAAACTTATAATTTGATGAATTTTTTTTATAATTCTTCAAAAATATTTATTCAATAATGATTGTAGACATCTAAATTAGTAATTAGCTTTTAAACAACAAGAATACTCCAAATTTTTTTACGTTCATTTGTATGACAAAATGATTCTTAAAAAAAATTACTTTGATAGGAGAATGAGAACAAGAAACCCTAAAATTTTAGCCCTCCTGCCTCAAACGTGAGAGCAACAAATTTATCAAATATTTTTTGTACTATTTTTAACTAGGCTTATATTCATCGAAAAATTTTAAATTTCATCGTAAAACATTTTAGTGTTCAAAAATTATGACCATATAAAGTTTAAACCCCACTCAATTTGAGGGGGTTGCATTATAACACTTAATTATAACGCAGTTTTTTCAAATAGATCCAACTATTGTTTTTATAATTCTTGTTTATCTGAGTTAAAATTCAAAAGATTTAATTTTGATCTTTTCTTATTTTCTATATGCTGCTATAATCTCAAGCAGAGTCGACATTTTTTAAATCTTTAAGCTTTCCCAGGAAAAAAATTTTATAGAATTTCTATAAACTTTTAAAACAAATGGCAGAAATTCTATAGAGTTTCTATAGCAGTTCTATAAAATGTCTATTAATATTTTCCTAAATTGTATTAGTAATTGTAACAACTGTTGATAATTTCCTAATTTTTATTGAATAAATATATTATTCCTTAAATGTTTCATTTTTTCTTTACTTACACTATCTACAAATTTAAATATTTTATTTGTATTTTCTCAAACATTTTTGATAAATAATTATTTGATAATTCTGTCCTAGTTCTCAGTAGTGATGTATATCAATACACCACTATTGAGATATAAAATAAAACTTGTTTAGTAATTAAAATAAGAAATAAGTTTTATAATAACCTAAATGCATAATTTAAATAACTTTTAAAAAATAGTTTAATAAATTTAATGACTTTTTTTGTTTAAAATTAATTTATATTTGGTCGTAATTGTATTAGATAATAATATGGCTATTTTTTTATTTTTATTTTTTGTTTTTATTTTACTAAGATGTCCTTCATAGATTAGTTTTTTACTATATGAGTGACACCAAACATAATTTTGTAAATTATAATTAAATTTTTTATTTTTAATTTTATGGTTAAATAAATATTAGTAAGAGATAATATTAATAAGAGTTAAAAAAAATGTGAATAAGAGATATTTTTAACAAAAAGGCATTAAGAACGGTTCAAATTTCAAAGTTCAAATTTCTTTTTTTGTTCTTTAAGTTAAGAAAGTCTTAAATCAGTTTTAACTAAGCAAGAAAATGCTTTCATAAGCTTTTAAGCTTAGGAAATTGAAGCTTATGAAATTGAAGCTTATGAAAGAAGCATTTTCTTGCTTAGTTAAACTGTTCTTGCTTGTAAAAAAGTAATGACATTAAAATGTCATTACCTTTTTACTATTATTAAAAAAAAAAAAATTGCTTGTTTGAAAATATTAGTAGTTTAAATACAGATTAGTGAAAACGGGTATTGTTTTATATAATTGCTGTATCTAGTAGAAATTGCTGTAACTAGTGGAAACTACTGTATTTAATGAAACTGCTGTATCTGGTGACAGCTATATATTGTGAATTCATAAATAAATTTTAAACATCTTTGGAAGTTTAAGTTATTTCTACTTACACCTGTTAATAAAAAAAGGGTACTTTGTTGATGCAAAAAATATATATTTTTGTTTGCGCTAGATGATAAGCGCAAGCTTATAAAAGAGCTTGGTTTTTGGACCTTTCAACTCAGAAGCCGAATGTAAAGTTAATTTTTTTTAACACCTCATGAAACCTTTTCCATTGCATAAATAATTTATTAGTAAAAAAATTTCATAAAAAGTAATTAAGCAATTTGAAATAAAATTTTCAAATTGTTAAATTCAAAAATAAAAATTTATGAGGTTTAAGGTTGAACCTCAAAAAAATACTTATCAAAAACCTCACAAAATACTTATCAAGAATATTTAAGTTTAAGGACAAAAAAAAATTAAACACTTATCAAGAATTTTTAAGTTAGCTTAAAAAAAGAGCAAAAAAAAATTAAGACCAAAAAAAAAGACCACTATGTTAAATAGAGTTAAGGTAACTGCCGCATATTTATTATAAACTGAAAATTTAGGTAATTTAAAATATATTCCCAGAGTTCTATTACCATCATAAAGGGTGTTATGCAAATAATAGCTAAAGATTTGGAGCAGCGAGGAAAATAAAATTTAGCTGCTTCAGTACCCAGAGTTAACAAGATTGCAAAACATATTTAAAGGGAAAACTTGCTTTACATCACATTACAGAAAAAAACTTAGTTTATTATTTGCTCCACATTAAAATGCAAATGGATTTGGATTTGGTTAGCTTGAAGTTAAAAGATTGAACATATAATGTTACAAGTCTGATGATGATAGAAATATTCAAGTCTGATGATGATAGAAATATTCAAATCTGATGATGATAGAAATATTCAAGTCTGATGATGATAAAATTATTCAAGTCTGATGATGATAGAAATATTCTCTTATTTTTTACATTTAATCAAAATATGGCTCTCAGCAAAAGTAACTTTTTCTGTGTAATTATTATTTTCTAACATTAGCTGAACACGCTGAATTAATTTTAAAACTAAAAATAAAGTTATAAATTTAATTCATTATTTAAATTTTATTTTTAAAAGTTATTAATATTTATTATTTAGGTTATTTATTAATATCTAATATTTAATTTTAACAACAATCAAGATGGACCTAACTATGAACATAATTTAAAATGTCTCCACAACCCTAAATACATTTTATATAATAAAAAGTCTCTTTAAACCTAAATTTATTTTATATAATAAAATGTCTCTGCAACCCTAATTGTGTTTTAAATAATAAAACGTATCCACAACCCTAATTGCTCTTTATATTTTAACATTGGATATATTTTAACTTTATAAAATAACATTGGATTTAAAAAAAAGTTTTTGAAGGTTATATATATATATATATATATATATATATATATATATATATATATATATATATATATATATATATATATATATATATATATATATATATATATATATATATATATATATATATATATATATATATATATATATATATGTATATATATATATATATATATATGTATATATATAAATATATAACCTTCAAATATCAAAGAGTCTTGAGCATCCTTTAAAATTATTTTTAAAAGCTTTTTTTTAAATCCAATGATTTATATATATATATATATATATATATATATATATATATATATATATATATATATATATATATATATATATATATATATATATATATATGTATATATGTATATATATATGTATATATATATATATATATATATATATATATATATATATATATATATATATATATATATATATATATATATATATATATATATAAAGAGAGAGAGAGAGAGGGACGGTTTCAAGGTAGAAGGTAAGGAGAGTGTCATACCCCCTTCCCCTTTCATAGAAGGTCATATTCAAGTTACGGTCGGTTTTCTCAGAAATATATACATACATGATGTTGCGTTACCTTTTGTGTTTAAATAACCTACTTTATATCGCTACTTTACCGCTAATTTTATTTTAGCTGCTATTATAAACTTTATTGTCTGAAAGCTAATCCAGTTTGTTTTGTACTAAGTTTCAATTAGTTTATTTTTCTAAATAGGTTTTTTCGTTTACTAGGTGTATTATTTCAAGATCTATTTTACTTGGTGAATATTCTAAAAATATACCACTCTATATTTAAAAGATCTTTCTAACCTTTAAGTTGACTCCTTCAACCAAGTTGACTCCTTCAACCAGCAAAATGATGTGGTGCTTGATGTGAAGGTTTCATTGGTTTATGAAATTTTCTGTGGGTTTTTAATAACACATTTTTATTTCGTATCGTTTTCTTTTAAAGGCTATATACTAGAAAAGATTTATAAAGCTTAATCGGAAATAAACATATCAATTTATTTAAACAAAAATTGTTATACGTAAAAGTAGAATAATTTATTGTAACATGAAGAACAAAAATAACTCCATCATTAGATATAACGAAATACTAACTCAACTATTTGTATTAAAAAAATTTGAGTACACCATTAGTAACAAGAAAAAAAAAATAAAAAAAAAATAAAGTCAGTAATGGTATAATATCAATCTCTGCTATAATTTAAAAAAATGAACACTTATTATAAACGTATTTAGATAGCTCCTATTGTAAATTTTGAAACAAAAAAAGAACTAAAATTATTGAGTGCATTTAAAAGTAATTTTTACAAAACCTATAGAGCTGAACGTCAAAATTTACTTTTTTGAAAAATGATATTTTAGTTAGATTTTATCTATTTATTTTGATTTATAAAACTATAAATTAAATAATTATTTCGATTTATTATCTGATAAAATATCAGTATTACCAAAAAAACATTTACTAAAAACATAAGCAAAATTTTAGCAACACTAGAAAAAAATGTACAACATAAAAAAAAAATAGTCTAAAAACAGTACCAACAACATCAAAAAAAAAACAAGAGTTTTCTGCAAAAAAAACAACAGAGTTTTCTGCAGCGAATAAAACAACTCAAACAAAAACATTACTACAATAATTTTTCTTTAAAATCTATTAAATGAACAGCATCAAAGATTTATGACTGAAAAATCCGCTAAAGCAAACAAACTAGATTTTGAATTAATATCTATAAAGTGTAAAAACAAGAAGCAAAAAAACCTTTAATAAATTTTTAGGGCTATTTTATTGATGCTTTTCTTTACTTATCGTTTCTTATTAAGAGCACAAGCTCAATAGAGTTATTCGCAGTTTGTAAGATGACATGCTGTGCCTATTTATGGCGTAGATCTTTGAATTTTTCCATCAAACTGACATTATTTGAAGTTTGTTTTACTTACGGTATACGACCATTCAATAATCTGATTATAATTATAACCTAATAATTAGGATTACATACATATATATATATATATATATATATATATATATATATATATATATATATATATATATATATATATATATATATATATATATATATATATATATATACAATTTTTTTAGTGCGCAACAAATAGTTTAATAAACATATTTTTATAAACATTTTATATACAAATGTAAAATGTCTATGAAAATAAAATAACTAAAATACATGTCATGGACACGCATGCGTATAGATACAAATGAAATTTTTTCTTTAAAGACAAAAATAGTTTTAATACTTATTCCAAGAAAAGTTACATTAGTTTGCATGTAATAATGAGTTTAGCAAAAATGACCATAGAGTGCGTAGCTGCAATGACAATGAGTGAAGTAACAATGACGATAGTGCTTAGTTACAATGACTATAAAAAACCAGGTTACTCAGGAAAACTTAAAATAATAATGTTTTTCTGTCACATTTAACTATTCCGTCATTTAAGCAAATAATGTTGAATGTAAACTTTTTAAAAAAACATTGTAATATATTGCGTGTAATAATCGTTAGCATCTTACTTCAAAATCTAAATTTTGACTGTTAAAAATATTCCATGTCGTTAAATGAAAGTATTTAGTTGAAAAAAACACGAACCTGTGTTTATTTTCTCTGCACTATTCTTTAAAACAAAATATGATCTGGATATTAATTAATTATCACACTCTTTATATGTAGACATTATATTTTAAGAAGTTGTTTCTAATAACAAAGACCATTTAATAAAATGCTATGCACGTGCGCGTTATTTAACTTACGCGTTGATCTACATTTGGGGGAGAGGTGTCTTACTTCTTTAAAAATATTAAACAACACTGCTTTTAAATTTAAACCAGTAAATATGTACTAATATGTACTCCAAGATTTTACTTTATATATATATATATATATATATATATATATATATATATATATATATATATATATATATATATATATATATATATATATATATATACATATATATATATATATATATATATATATATATATATATATATATATATATATATATATATATATATATATATATATATATGTATATATATATATATATATATATATATATATATATATATATACTATATATATATATATATATATATATATATATATATATATATATATATATATATATATATATATATATATATATATATATATATATATATATATATATATATATATATATATATATATATATATATATATATATATATATATATATATATATATATATATATATATGTATATATATATATATATATATATATATGTATATATATATATATATATATATATAAATATATGTATATATATAAAGTAAAAGATCTATTATGTCATAAGTGTCATAAACACTTTTTGTCATAGTCGATCAATTATTTTATTTTAGTAAACTTAAACATAGTTTGCCAAAAAAAAAATTATTTTTAACTTTAAGATTTTAGCTGAGACTTTTTAACCGAATAAAGTTTATAATCGTTTAAAAAATTAATATAATTAATTTATATAATGTTAGATAAATTATTATTACATTATTTATTATTTTTGCTTTAATGTTATATAAATACTTGCTTAATAGTCATTGAAAGAATATTTGTACATATAAGTTAACTTTTTGTACATTGTCTTTGTTTTGTCTTAGATTCAACACCTTTTTGTATCCGCACGGACTTATACGTCATTTGTTTGCGCTCGGACTTGAAAAGAACTATTTTATCTGAGGAAATATTGTAATTTTATCTGTCAATTTAATAAATTACTATTTAAAATTCAATAAAAAATGAAATAAGGAAATGCTTTTATTACCGTATTTTACATGTAAATTCATTAAATATTAAAATACTGAAACAAGAAATTCTTCGTTAAAATACTAAATGGTGCAAACCATAACAAGTAATTTTTTAACCATTTACAATTAAATCCATTTTTAAGATCAACCATATTTATTAACTGAACAACACTACTTTACGTATAATAAATAAAACACGTTGGTCTGCAGGCAAGCTTTAAGATATAAAATAAAGACTTTTGAAATCAATATACTTTGTCGTCGGCAATTATTTCAAAACTTTACAGAATGTCTCGTTTGAATTAACCTGAGCTTTTCATCAATGATAATGAAATTTACCATAATATAAAAGACAAATATCAGGGGGTTTTGTTAGCGCTAAACTAGTTGAAGATAAACTTTTAAGTCAACCTTCTTGAAAATCGTATTAAATTACTTTTTCAATTTCCTTTTCCGTTATATGTTAACGTCTTAACGCTAACGATTTTTCAAAAGTCTGATTTACTTTGTTGACATTGCAGTAACTTTAACACTCGTGTTTGTTTTTTTACTTTTTTGATAGTCTTTTTTGTTGCATTTTTGCTTTGTAATATGATTTTTTTTTTGTATTTAATAATAAGCTGTTACTTCTGCTGATTTTTAATAGTTTTTTAATAAACTAATGTTATCTACCTATCTATTGTGTGAACTTGTTGACTTTAAACTTATTTGCAAAATATATCAAAATCCTTGATTGTTTTTGTTGTTGTTATATATTTGATTGACATCAAATTAAGTGCTCCATGAAGTTTACCTTTTTTTATACCCCCCGTTAAAATTAAACTTTACCGATTTCAAATACATTATTTCAAGTTTACATAAAAATAAATAGTCATTATCCGAGTGCTCCGAGGGCTCCGAGTGCTCCTCAAAACATAAATTAGATAGTATTTATCTAACTTTTTGTTGTAATATTATGAATACCAATAACAAAAATCCATTTGAGGTTTCAGCTTGGCGTAATTTTTTTAAGCTCTGATTTTACTCAAAGTGAGTTTAACATTCTAGAGTATTGAGTCTTTTCAACGTTTAACCAACAAGATAATATTTATAATCTGTCAAACTCTGCTCACCTAAGTTGAACAAGATTAAAAATAAAACAGTCAGACAATTAAGTAGAAGTTTGATAAACAAAAATAGATTATAATTTTTTGTGGACTATTCACTGTATATCATAATGACACTTATTGTTTATACAATAAATGAACAATAAACTTTAATCCTATTTTAGCAATCTAAGAAAAAAGATTTTTAATTATTTTGGTCATTTAAGTTTCAGCGGTTGTAAATAAAAGAGAAACAAACATAATGAAGAAAACTAATTTAAGTTTGCAATATCTTTGATCAGTTTATATTGAATGAGATTTTAAAAATTATATATTTTTTTATCATATATCATTTATTATATATTTTTTTTACCACAAAGTAAGGCCTTTAACAAGGTGAAGAAATTAAAAAACTTATAAAAACTTTTTTTATAGGCATTTTGTTTTTGCTTAAAAATCGTTTCATATATCATTGTGTACAAAGCGTTTTTGTTCCGTTTACCGTTTCTGCTTTTACCAAGTCGAGTCTGTATTTTAATATCATAGAATGTGGTTAGACTTCGTATATTTGTTCATTATTTTAATGTTTAAATAATCTGTTACATGCACGTGTTGCATTTATCTTATTTCGAATTTTGTTCACAAAAAAATACTATTTTAGATAGTTGTTATTTTTGTCCCAAAAACCTCACTTTAGTTGGCCAAATCGTATATTTTTGTTCTTTTTTTATACATTTAAGTAAACTGTTATATAAGACATTAGAAATATTAGGTAAAAAATAAAAACAAGCATACAAGTTAATTTTAAAAAAAGAATGAGCAGCTCGCAAGAACTAGCAGCAAACTGTAAGGTCTTTTTATCGAGTGCCTTTTATAAGAATCTTAGAAAAGTTATTAATACAAAAATCTTTCAAAAAAACAAACCCATAACCATAAGATATATAAATAAAATTAAAAACCATTAGATTGATTATTAAAATATAAATTTCTTGAATAAAGTTGAAATGCATAAAGTTCAAGTATTTAAATATATACGAGAGAAAAAAAAAGCTTCATAATTCTGAGATTCTTTTAAGTGATGACAAGATGTAATGGTTTGCTGCTTGCCTTTACCTTTTTTTCAAATTAACATTGATTTTTATTTATAACCTGTATTAAATTAATTTGTAAATTATGTTAGTTTATTCTAAAAAGAGCGCTTGATGTTCTTAAAGAACTGAGCAATAATAAATTAGCAAAAACACTTATCTAATTGAACATGTCAACTCGAATAGAACACAAGCCCATTTATTGAAGTTTTTTAAAATCCACCAAAAAATGTCTATGGTACTAAAGAAACTAAACATAGCAGTAGATAAATAAAAAACATGAGTTTTATGAGTTTTCTTTTTTATAAAAAAAAAAACACAAATCATACAGAAATTTTTAATTTAGATTTATAACGACAATGTTAAAAGATTTGGAATTGTGTCCTTTTCGAAATGACGGGTTCAGTATTCTTTGACAGTTCTTCTGCAAATTCATCATAAGTTGTTTGATTTGAATGATTGCTTCGAAAAGTGTAAAGTAGTGTGGTTCTATTTTCCTTTTCTTTGATTTATTTCTGCTGTAAAGATACAACGTGTTGTTTTGCTGTGTTTATGTGTAATTTTCTTTTACGTTGTGTTCAAGTGTAGCTTTCTTTTATGTTGTCTTCATGTGTAGTTTTCTTTTTGTGTTGCGTTCGTTTAACTGTTTTATTTTTTAATATTTTGTTTTGAGTTGTGTTTTTGTGTAGTTTTCTTTTATGTTGTGTTCATTAAATTGTTTTATTTTTTATTTTTTTGATTTCTGTTGTGTTCATGTGTAGTTTACTTTTATGTTACCGATGGATGTAATTTTAATTGTTTTCATTTAATTTTTTGTTTTCTGTTGTGTTTATGAGTAGTTTCCTTTTATGTTGCCGATGGATGTTAATTTATATAAAAATATGGAAAAGTTTGAGAAATAACTTATTTGCAAGACAATTGTAATAAAGAGCACTTAATACTTTTCTGAAGAAGTTGACATATTGCATCAATGTTCAGCGAATCAACACAGCAAATTAATTTCCTTGCTAAATTACAAAAATGCTTGTTTCCAACTATTGTAAAAATTTTGAAAATGCATTTAGCCAATCTTGTTACAGTTAAAAGCTTGTTTTGATTTTTAGTATTGTATAGACTGTAATAATGCTGTAGTATTACTTTGTATCTAATAAAAGAAAAAATTATAATGACAATTCAAAAAAATATTTTTATTTTTCTATATAAAAGCTCAAGTAAAGACGTAACCCACGTGGCATTTGTTTTTAAAAGTTACGTTCTAAATGTATTTTAAAGTCTTTTAAACGTCTTCTAAACATTCTTAGGTAAATAACGTTTAAAAGGCGTTTAAAAAACGTTTAAAAGACATTTAGAACGTAGCTTTCAAAAACAAATGCTCGAAGGGAAAATTTGAGAGTTTTTTATGACCATCTCTCTTTATCAATAACGTTAACGGCTAATAACCATTAGTTTAAGTTAAAACATTTTTTTTAATCCATAACACCATTTAAGACGTGACAATCAAGCTTTTAAGGGTGATAATATAAAAATAGCTTTCAATATTTTTAACAACATTTTGGATTTCTTCAATTTTTTGTTTTCAAATGAATTGATAATAACTAAAAACATTAGTCAATCTTTAGATGAATATTGCGCTTATAAATTGTTTTAAAAATAAACAAAAATTTGTAAAATAGTATTACATATAATGAAAAGATAAAAAAAATATAAGACTTAAACTAAAATACTTTTACGAATGATTATAAAAAAAGTATTACAATAAACAATTTTCAAAAACAAATTTGTAGTTCAAAAGTCGTAGCGGTAAAACACGATTTGTAGTTCAAAAGTCGTAGCGGTAAAACACGATTTAATGGAAAGAAAATATAAACGATTATACAACTTCATAAAATAAGTATTAAAAATATTAATATATATTGTACATTACAAACCACGAAAGAATAAACAAATGGTTCACAAATGATGGCTAAAGTCTTTTTAAAAAATTATAACCACGCTAAATTGATTTCAAATATATTTTAAATTGTGCTGCGCGATAACGACTTTACACCTGAAGAGTATGAAATTGTCTTTCCTTTAAAAAGGAATAAATCACCTGGCTTCGATGACGTTTTTAGTAATTTAGCTATTTCAAATAAAAATAACATTTGCAGACGCATAACTCATTTTATAAACTTTTCCAGAAGTCTATTACATTAAGCACTAAAGTTGCTCGAAGTATATTACTTAAAAATTAACGAAAAATATGAACAGTATATGATTACCAATAAAACGAATAAAATTGTTGATAATTTTATTTCAAAAAATATTGTACTAGACTAACAAGGTCTTAGAAACACATGACCATAGTATGATTTTAAAAAATTACTAAGTCAGGGAATTAAAGGTGCAAATACAACCTATAACCTATAAAGTAAAACCTAATTTTTTTTAAGTTTTTAACTGCTAGAAAGCAGTTTTTACTTCCAAAATAGGATCACTTTTTTTAAAATAAGTATCGATGATTTAAACGAAGTTTCTTATCAATTTTAGAAACTTCGTTTAAATCATCAAATCAATTTTATTTGCAAACATTTTTTTCTATTTCCATAGTAGTATAAAAATAATATTTAAAACAGCCAAAAAAGAAATCTTAAAAATAAGTGAATAGAGAGCGACACGGTAATGGAAATTGCGGTATAAACGCGACTACCGTAATAATTAACGGGGGAATTAATGGTAAAAAAATTACGGTAATACCGCATACCTCTTTTTTGTTCAAACCATGTAGAAATAATTTCACATTGATAGTCATATTTCGTGTCTCAATTAATATATTTAAGACCTGTTACCGTTACCGCGTAAAAATATGATTGAACCACAAAGAATTTTAATTTATGAATTAATAAAAATTTAGTAAAAAACAAGATTTTTATATATGAGTTATTATTCGGATGTGGTTTACTGGTTGGTGAAACTTGATTTATTGATAAGGATAGGAAAAAACTAGAGTGGGATAAGATGGAGATGGTAACAAACTTGATGAGAATCGGGTAGAGATGAAGAAATTTATAAGGAGGTGGGGGGGGGGGGGGGGAAGATGGGATAAGGACGGGGATGGTTTCTGTCACCGTCTCATTCTCTATAAGTATATGGTTTAATGCAAATAAACTGTCGCTAAACTAAAAAAGACTTAATTTTTTTCATCAAAATGTTTAAAAGAATATTTTAAAAATCACCTTAACTATACTGAGGAGTAATCAAAACACATCAAAATCCTTAGTCGATGTATGAACACTGTGTGTGGCCAAATCTGTTGATGTATGTACACTTCGCTGCGTCTTAGACTGCATCAATTGATGTTTGCACACTCCACTGCGTCTATGAAGGAAAATATTTAAAAAAAACGTTTGAAATACAGATTAGTCATTTGAAATGAAAATCACCTATATTCGATTAAATACTAAATTAGGTATCGTCATTACTTATGCAATACTAAAAAAGTTCTAAAAAAAAAGGTAGATAAAGGAACCAATTTGGTAGTTAAGCGCCAAATCCAAAATGCGCTCATACAAAAAATTAAAAAAAATGAACTTATATTAAAAATTGATTAATGCAGTGTTTCTTTTGTTTCTTTTGTTTGTTTCTTAAAAGGCGAAATTAAAGGAATTCGACGCCCAAAGAAGTTTGTTAAAATAATGGCAGGTAAAAAAAATTGCATAATTGAAAACGACAAAACATATTGCAAGCCGTTTTTTACCCATCTTTTTAATCAACAGTTTTATTATGAAAACAATGATAAACCTGGTCAATTTAAAAATATTCGACGAGAAAAATTTGAATCTTTTTTGTGTGCCAAGCAATTTTTAGCTGTGGTATGCAGGCCTCTTGTTTTGCAGCTAAGAAGACCTTGACTGCTGATCTCTACATCAAAGAATACCTCCAAAAAAGACTTTTGCTATTTATGAAAAAACACAAAATTTGATGTCTCATTTGGCCAGATCTTGCCGCTTTCCACTATTCTTAAAAGTTTTACAGTGATGCAACGATAATAATGTAAAAATTGTTACTAAAGATGCGAATCCTCTAAATTACCCTGAAGAGCGCAAGACTGAAGATTTTTGGGCAATATTTAAAGGAGCTCTTTGTACGATAGGAGAAGTAACAAAAAATCAAAAGGACATATCTGCAAAATGATAGCATCAACCCGCTATAAAATTCGATCTATTGCTAAACAGCCATCAAGCCCCTTAAAATTAAGTAGAAACCCTATTTGATGTAAACACATCTAAAAATTAACAAAAATTTAAATAAAAAGCATTTATGTTTTAAAAAAAATCTCAATTTAAAGTTAACCGGATTTTTCCTTGTCTACCCGATAAGTTCACTAGACAGCAATTGGATTTACTTTGGTTGCTATGGATACCTCAATTGCTTAGCAACCATATATTTTATTACCCTAAACTGGTAAAAGTAATAACTTTATTGGATTACTGCATAATTACCACATTGAGTATTTTTATGCTACAAATGTAGTGGTACTATGGATTTTTTATTTGGTTGATAGTGACATCTGAAATGCCTGGAAAAAGTTCATTTTGCATAGCTTAAGTAACTTTTCTTAAAGCATTATTGTTACATACTATTAATGTGTCTGATTTAAAATTGTTATATTTAAGAAATTGAGTTCATTCCCAATTACTAATTTGAAGTAACTTTATGCAGTTCTAGAGCTCTATTTTATATTTTATGAAACTACTACATAATCCATAAAGGAACCTAAAGCATGAACCTTTTTGTGTATATAATAATATAAAAATTTTGATTTAAATTTATGTTTTGAGCCAAAACTCATATATTTTGATAATTGTAAAACAGTTTTATCTTTTTCTTTACTATCTTGGCGCAAACTACGACCTGATGCAAACAATAGTTCCTAAGATGAACATGATGCAACTATTGACGTTAATCTTCTTTTCTTTGTTTTGCTACTTAAAGTATCAAAGTTCACCTGGGGTCTGGATGAGAGCAAAGTTTTTTTTAATCAATGGAAGCAGTTAGTAGAGTTTTCTTATTATCAGTTGCAAATTGAACTGATATTGTTTCATATTGTAGCCATTGTTATTCTCTTCAAAACAAATTTTAGAGTTTTTGCATATATACCTTTTTCAAAAGATACTTTCTAAAACTAGACAGGTTATTATTTGCTGTTAAGTTTATGCCATTTACAACTGCATCCAAAATATTAGGATAAGCTAAGTTCAAGTTTTCCTGTATTATATATGAATAAATATCAATAATTTTCATGTTTTAACTAAAACATGAAGACATAATATAACTATATAAAAATATTATATATCCATTTAGAATAAAATAGATATAATGTTTTCGCCACATAAAATCGGATAATCCATTTAACTTTTAAAAACCATTATTAGAGACCAGGCGGACATCCGCGGATTATAAACCAA